CACATGCTAGTGGACTATTAATTTTTGTCTCATGATTGGCCATTTTGCAATGAAATTTCTAGTCAAGGGAACTCCGCGTTGTGCAGTGTCACATCAGGCCTCAGCAGGCTCAGCAGATGATTATTTTGTATTGCACTCCACATGTTTTGTTAGAAGCAAAGAATCATACAAATACGCCATTGGTAGAAGCAAGGAAGTAGCAACGCAGTCTATGGCCGGAAAGCACACGTCAGACATAGCAGTTTGTTCTCGCTATGTTTTGTATAATGTAGTTCTCGCTGTTAATTGGTCTCGTTGTGGAAAGGCAAAGTTTCTTTCATGCATTGCAAGTGTGGAAACAGCAGTAGAAGAGTGAAAGTACCGTTGAAGTGCAGTTTGAGGTTTTGTGGGGAATAGTGTAGGTTTGATCAAGGATGCCTTACTGCACTACCAAACATGACGAAGGGGCAAAATGGCTCGAGAAATCCCACTTTAAAAGTTCGATGGAGAGTGTGATATTTCTGGAGAAAGCAGCATCCAGGACTTAGTCCGTCATTAGTTGGAAGCAGGACAGGGTGTACTAAAATACAATAATTATTACTACTCCCCGGTCGGAGATTTGCCATTCACTGATTTATCGTCAGCGTCGAACTAGGGGCGAATTTTGCTTCCCCCCCCCCCCCCCATATCACGGATCGAATAATGTGCATGAAAGGTAGGGGTGTGCGGATAATGCTAGAAAAGCTGGCAGATTTTGCTCAAAAAGCAGTGAAAATGGCAGATCCATCCAAACCTTATGGCGGGCAATTCCTCGAATTCTGCTCTATTTCTTTTTCCACATACCAAACATGCATGAAACTTACCAGAAAAAGTACCGAATTCTGCCAATTTTCTGCCGGCATTATCCGCATATGTTTAATGAAAGGACCAACATAAGTGCATGTACATTTGTGTGGGGAAAGTCTTTGCACCCCCCTTGATCACTATCCTGGCTACGCCCCTGGTTCCGGTCACCCGGCTGTTTCAAAGAGACAGTGAGGGTGGTGGTATTATCTTCTCCTCGTCGCCTTTTCCAGACAATTGGGTCTCACTTAAACCCTACCTTCATACGTGCACGACACAAAGGGTCATGGTGGAAGTTGTGGATTGATAAACTGTTGTGATTTGACCTCAGATAAACAGCAATTGAAAGGGTCCCTCGCCTGTAGAAAATTTATAAAATTGCTTTCCAAAACGCCATGGATCCAGTCTAAAAAGTAAGAAATTAACGAAATGTGATAGGCGAAAATTAGAATTTCACACAAAACCTCACAATAATCACACACACGATGAAACGCGAGAAGATCTTTTGCCGTCGTGGTCCTCTTTCTCATGCATGCATGTTGGCGCAGATGTCAGACTAAACAAGTGTAGAAAGCAATATTTCAGCTTTAAAACTAAGATTGTCAAGTGTTGTGATTTTTGTGAGGCTTTGTGTGAAATTATAATTTTCGGTTATCACATTTCACGAATCCAATCATAGTACAACTAACTTCAGACAAGAACAATACAAAATCAAGATCTCTGAATGTGATGTAAACTGTCATTGTCTCTCAGCCACTCACAGGCGGCCCTCAGCCACCGCCAACTCTCGCAGTGCGTTGACTGGTCGGTGGTACGATGATCTAGCTCCGCGAATGCGCATAATAGCTGACTATAATATTGCAAAGGCCAGGCGACAGCGGACATATGCCGTCATCTCTGCATACTTCTTTTTCTCTCCCCTGGAAAGCAGACCACACAAACGCTTGATGAAACGCGAGAACTCTGGCGCACAACAACCGGCTGTGGTGAAAATGAGAGGCGTGAATGCACCACGATCCACATTGATTCTGCGTTCAGCATACTCGGATTTCTTCCTGCGCTCGTGCTCTGCCAAAAGCTTCTCCAGTGGCTTTGCAGCATAGGAAGACGCATCAGGGTGAAATACTCCAACGTCCATGTAGGCATTTTGGGGCCGGGAAGGAGAAGGTCCTCGTCGTGATCATCATCGTCGTCATCACTATCGTCACTATCATCACTATCATCTGTTTCAATGAGTCCCACCTTCCAACCCGGCAAATATTTCAATGATGCTTTTATCTATCATCTTATCTTGCAAACCGTCATTAACCCATGCTTCATCAACAAGTTGGCCACAATGTCTGCAAGAATTCGGCCATAATTCAGGCTTCCATCCTAATGTCGTAATGATGGCCCAGGGCGGAAACATTTCTTCGATTTCAAAACGAGTATTCTGGGGGCTGGTACGGTAAAACCGCAAACTCGGTCCGAACTCCCCTGGATTTTCTATGTTTTTGCAATGCACTTTAGGTCCCAGATGCAGACTTCCAGCAGACCTGGTAGTCGGACTGCTTACGAGGGCGGGCTGGTGTTGAACAGTTGTCTTGACTTACAACTGTATGAGACTAGGTAGAATATCGAAGAGGCGGAGCACATGAAAAAAGGAGGCTTTGTGAGGTGAGCCATAATATTCCATAGTTATGGAACAGCTGAGCAGGGTAGGTGGTCACACCATACTATCTGCAGGAAGTGCAAAGGTGCCGATCACGAACTGATCCGGTACTTTAAACTGTTACTGTGAGAGAGTGAGTCTGTGCACAAATATTATGTATGATTACGCGTCTGCGTGAATGTGCACGTGTGTGTCTGTGTGTACGTGTGTGTGTGTGTGTGTGTGTGTGTGTGTGTGTATGTGTGTGCGTGTGTGTGTGTGTGTGTGTGTGTGTATGTGTGTGTGTGTGTGTGTATGTGTGTGTGCGTGCGTGCGAACATGTGTGTGTGTGTGCGCGCGCGTGTGTGTGTGTGTGTGTGTGGGTGGGTGCACATGGTTGGTATGTGGAGTTTATGTGAGCGTATGATAACAATCTCTTCAATAATATTAATATCCTTATTTCAAGATTACCCAACGCCGGCGAACGCCCTATCAGGTTGATCTCCTATTTGAACATGCGCATATGTGTGTGTATGATGTGCCCTAGCTCACTTATAATATTATTATTTTGTTATACACGTAGATCATGTCCTTGATGCCGTTCCTCTGCGCAGGGCGACCGCACTATTGTTTTTAAGATTAACATCATTATTACTTCTGCATATGCATTACATACTATGATCATGCTGGCTTCATCCCTTATCTCCTAAGCTACCACCCACCCCCCCCCCCCCCCCCCCCCGGTGCGTCTGCCCAGTGTTGACTCCGAGACCCACGGGCGGACGAGCTGCCCAGGCCTCACCACCACTGCCGTTTCCGTGCTGCCTTCTCGATACATACGTATGTACACTGTATCATGTGCACATTCACATGTCTGAAGGTTTGTGGTTTTTTCAATAAAAAATTAAAAAATAAAAAAAATAAACTTGAATTACTAATAAGGTGGCAGGTGCAAAACACGCACGGTCTCAAAGCAAGAGGCGCTAGGCATGGATTGTACATGTTGCCAACATTTCCCCTTTTTCAAGAGCAAACATACTTCTGGTGGCAGTCTAAGTTGGTCACATTAGTGTAGGGAGACTGCAGGAGTCGTAGTCGCTTCCTGGTCACACATATCTTGTGCGTGCTTGAGCTCGCGCGTGTGTGTGTGTGTGCGTGTGTTTTTACAAAGACCAAACATGAGATTCAGGTAGGGGAAGCACGCACAACCTGAATCGTGGCGGTGGTGGTGAGGTTTAGGGAGCTCCGCCGATCTAGGGTCTCGACTTCATGGCCACCTAGCCGCACCAAGAGTGGGTGCGTATGTGTCCTTTCATTTTGTGTATCAAGTCGGGTTAACCTACCTGTATGGTAGCACATATCTAGGTTGCACATTTACCTACATGAACGTGCTAGCGTCAGCAAGATACCAGGATGAACGCTGATGCACGAAAAGGATGCGCTGCTGCAACTGTTATCCACCTGTCCTCGCTCGGTTCTTTGGAGAACAACTCTTTGTACTCATTCTGTGACGAAGCCGAGGGGGTATTTTGATGAGTGACTGCACTCAGTGGAATACATTATTACCTACGTTTGGTGTTTTAGGACTTTCAAGGCATCAGCGAATTTGTTGCTTATCATCGTGCCTAGTATAACGTGCCAGCATGGCTGGTTGTGCGGAACGGTGGTGCAGTGTCCTGACTGTGGTAACTACGGTGGTGGTCATCGCCTCTGCAAGTCTTAATCCAGAAGAGAATACTCCGTTCTTACGCCAATGCAGGTCAGGAAATTTATCGAAATCTTCTCCCCTGGTTCGTCCAGACGCGTATGAGTCAGACGTGATCCTGTACGCGCGGTCCTATAGTGAAGATGGTCGACTGCATCGGTACTCTGACGTTAGCCAGGGCAATCGTACTGCGGGTGATAGAAGTCAGCCGACAGGATGCGGACACAATGTAAGAACAGCATGCTCCACTATTCATCAAGCACTCAGGGAATCCGGCATGCAGCCTGATACACATACAGTGATAAAGTTGATCGTTTACAATAATACGAGATGTGAAGTTCTACTGGGACATGTTAAACACGTTTATTTACTTTCCATCACCAAAGTCGCTGTTAGTATTGCATTATTGTTTGACCCTTCCAATGGCTGCACTCATGCCACTATTCATGCAGACAACGCAACGACGCATTTCCTGCAGTTCAGTCTAATTGCCTCAGTGACAAGATCGAAGATGAGTCTGTTCATTGAAAATGTCCACATACAAGAAATTGGAAGAGAGAAGACAGGTTTTCTTAGCTTGTATTCACGAACGAGCAATGTCAACCAGTCATTTCAACTCACCTTCGCGAAGTGCAACTTCAAACTACAAAACTTCGTGCTCGTCTCTGGATCCATTAGCAATACGCAAGTCACCGTACGTTTGACTGATTGTCATTTCGTGTTGGACGGCCAAGCATCGTACGCAATGGCTCTTATAGAGTTCGATTTTTCAAATCCCCGTGTAAAAGTGACGGAGTACACCTCGGTAACTGTTCGCATGGAACATTCCACATTCTGCTCGCACCCAGACGCCCGCACAGGGGCATTTGTGCTTTCTGCACGCGAAACCGACACCCATCTACACGTCACAATACATAACAGCACATTTCGAGGTTTCAGGGCGCCACGTTCAGTCTTGGAATTGCATGGATCTTACCAAGCTGCCAGTCGACTTGTTCTGTCTCATTGCACATTTGAGAACAGCTCGTATGGGGAGAGCTTCCTGAAAACTGCCTTTCTACAGACATGTGTAGATGGCAGTAGTCTGCGGTTCAATAATGGATTGAACATAAACACAGCTGGGTTCATCATTGAACACCGTATGACATTGGTGAATCGTCTTATCGGGATATTCGACTCTAGATTTGAGTACAACGAAAGACCTGATGCCCGTTTTGCCACCGGGGCAGATGTTGTCGTACGGCCATTTCTGTCTAAGCTGGCTAACAGAAGTTTCCTCATCATCGACTCTGCTGTGTTCCTCCACTCAAGGCACGCTGGGCAGCCATTTCTGCAGTTGTTCTGGAGTAAGGCGTACTTGCGCAACAACTCCTTCATACAGTAAGTATATCGACATTGTGTGAAGAGTCCGCTTTTCAGACTTACGATCCATAGATCATGGTGGGGGACGGGGTTAACATTGTATTAGCTTTACTCATAATTATAGCGAGCATCCAAAAAATTGCCCACCCCGAAGCCGGTTCTTCTCTTGCAGGGGTGAGGCACCATGGCGTTATTTGAAATGGTCGTGGAAGTTTCAACGGACCGAATACCAGCCTTTATCAATGCTGCTTTGAGAGCTTGCACATCATTGTGAACCTGATCAAGGCAATTTGCCGAAACTTTTTAATATTACAAAATGTACTCAGATGGTGAGCCAAGGAGATAACTAAAGTGAAACAAGGAAAACGATGGGGAACAAGTTTATGCACGTGCACGTCTCACTGTTCAAAACCTGTTTTAGTTGGTGTACTCTAAAGCATAACTAAATTCTTGTTAATGGAAGAGAGCGTGTGGGCTCTACTCTTATTATCATATACATACTTCGAATAAATCCTGTATTCTACTAGCATGCCACACACTCTGGACTGTCTCGGATATCAAGACTGAATTTCCATGGCAATACAGTGAAAGGCAAAGTGCACGTACGCTAGTTTCACCTCATAGCACCATCACTCAATTTCAGGCAAGCTAAATTCTTTGACTGTTATGTCTTCTCAGGGAAGGTGCCCGTGACTAGCCGAACCGATTACTTCAAGTACTACTACCCTACAAGACCTCACTTCCATTTCTGAACTTTTTTTTCCATAGACCTTCCATTCCTGGGACCGACATTGATATATTGTTTTTAATTTCATTATTCTGTGAGAGTCAGCCCTTGGCTGGTGAGAAGGCATCATTGCCAAATCACGTAACGAAGTGAAATGAGGAATAGCATGCCATAGATTGTCGTGGTTATCCTTGTGGTGAGTGCACAACTATATCCTTCCTTGCTGCTCAGCCGAATGCAGGCACTGAAGTTGCTCATGTCTCCCATTGTCACTTAGACACAATTGTGGATTGGCGGATATGGCATTGGCTAGCAGTATTGTTACCATCGATGGCACGCATCGGTCTCCATGCGTCTGGAGCTTTAACGATCGGTTCAAGTTAGACAAGTCCCAGGTCATCGTAACCCAGGTGAGCCCCATCACATGGTTGTGTTGCTGAATTATACTGACTACGATGATGTATCTGAGTTTAAAGCCCACGCAATCGAAATGTTATTGCTCTTCCTTGATGCGCACAAAAACAGGCCATGCGTTATGGCCCTGCTGCGTTACACGAACATTGTGTACTACAGTGGCTATATAAACAGGCGGTGATCTCTCCTTTATTACGGCAATATAATACAAAATATTCACCGTTCGCGGAGACTCGGCTGGAAGCCAAGTTTTTCCGCATCCGTAGGAACGCCACCACCCTCTAGGAGTCTACGACCAAGGCGTAGATGCAGCGCCTAAACGGTCATATGATCGGCGAATTACATGAAGGTATAATGAGGAAGATAGGGAAACAGATACATGCACTTCGAGTACATAATTGTTTGATATCAGCAAAACGCCGTTTAGGAGAAAACTGTTTCAACAAAGTTATGAATATATTAAATGATGCCGACATAATACCATACTACATGACTCAGACTTAGTCAGAGGCAGGCCAGTCTCTCTTGTACCAGCACCACAGTGCACGCGTCATTCTGCGAAGGAGAATCGTCGTGCTTTAGCGTTTCAATGCAAAACCAAGGAGTTCTCTCTCTCTCCACTTGATCACTCAGCCAGCACAGAGTCCATATGCCCATGCCAAACAATCCTGGCATCTTTCAATAGCCTCCAGAGCGATGAGTCTCTGTTGGCTAAGGGAAATCGCCAGGAATTGCTGCAGGCAATTATTTTGGACTGTTGGCGAGAATACCCGGCAAAAGGAGTTGGGAGTCCAGGCGCGTGTGGAGGTGTTGCACAGTTCTTACCACGTCAAGCCGGATAGTGGCGGCGGAGATGACTACCCTCGACATCGTGGCTCAAGTACAGCACACAGGAGCGACATCGAGATTTCCAGAACGATCACGACAAAGCCCGGCACGGTACTTGCTGCAACTGAATCCGCTCTTGGCGCACTTTCGTCTCAAAACAGGGACAATTCCTCTCCAGAAGAAACTGCGATCTCTGAATCAGAGAAAAGTGATTCAGCCTAACTGATGTCTCTAATGTCCTTGTTGAGCAAGAAAAAGTTGTATTTCGGTGAGACAATCACTAGTTTGATTGTAAAGTGTGTGTTATTTCGAGTAATTTGAAGTAAAAAAACGCGCCAAGTTTCGCTTGTCAGAGGTAGTACAAATTTACCACCAAACCGGTCTTGTGCTGGCAGAAAAAGAACTTGTTTATGCTGTAATTGTTAAAGAATTAAGATCAAAGAATTCTCACTTTTTGTGTTTGCATGGTGACTTTCTGGTTGTGAATTTATCTCATTTTATGTCAATTGGTGATCGGTATACTTTCTTTCAGTTCTCATTGCTCGTGCTACGTACGATTTTAGAACTTACTATTTAAAAAGCTGGTGATTTGCCAGTAAATCCGAGGGCGCAGCTCACTCTATTTATTGCGTTTACACATATTACCATGTTAAAAAGAGGTTGGTGCGACTTTGGTGATACTTGGGGAATTTTGTGTTGCTCCCCGCATGGGAGCTCGCTATTTTCGTGCCGACTGGAATTCTCACTTGACTGACTCACGATTGCCACCCAGAGCACACCAGAAGTCCATCGAACCGTCCACTCGGCAAACCTGCAAGAAAGCACCACTCCCTGCTCAATGCACCAGTGTTTTGGGGAACTCACCACACATCACCATGATGAACAAATGAAATAGAATATGCAAATTCATTGGTTTGTTCTATCAATCACTATCCCTTTTTTTTGAATTTTTCGAGTGCGGATGCAGTTTTAGGAGCTCCGCTCCTATCAGCCTTTCCGAGTCTGTAACTGTAACCTACAGGAGCTGTGACTTGTACTGCGGACTATGGCCACCAATGAGCATGTCGACCTGGCCCTTCTGACGTTCGACTGTCTACAAAACCTGGCCACCCGGACTGGCATCCCGAAAGCGGACTCCTTCTCACGGCCCGACCTGGTGGGAGCGCTCCGGAAGGAGGGGATTGGGTCCCACCCCATCCTGGAAGGTATGACCGGTATAGGACATGTCACGACTGCTTTGGCCGCATTGTCCTCGACAATAATGGACCTGAATAAAGAAATAGTGGCAATTAGGGTGGGAAGAGATGATGAAATTGCTTCCTTGAAGCTTGAAATTCAACAGCTGAGGCGGGAAATGGCTGACCTGCGAGATACTAGCGTACACACACAGCACGCCATGCCACACCAGTACAGCGACGTAGTACTAGGAACCGCCACACAAACTGCAAGTGCACGTGCGAGGCTCAGCACCACAACGGGCAGGTCTGTACAAACGTACGGTACACACGCCGGCAGTGGCAGCCTGCCAGGAGAAACGCGTGTGCCACAACCCAACACTACTACAAGTCGTAGTTCCAGCCCCGCGCGCCAATCCAGTACCTCACGGACTCCCATGGCAACCGCCAGCACGATGTGAAGGCGATTGCAGACACACTGAACAAGCAGTTTGTTTCATCCGGCATTCCGGAAGATCCGAATTGGGTCATTCCATCGCTGTCCCCAGCCCCTGAACTTAGCGCACCACTCACACGCGTCGTTACCACGACTGCTACCGTCTGTAAGCACCTCAAACTCCTGAAGAATTGTAAGTCCCCTGGCGAAGATGGCATACCCAATGAGGTTCTCAAATGGCTTGCGCCATCTCTGTCCTATCCCTTGTGCCTGCTCTTTAACATGTCATATCGTACAGGAGTATTTCCGTCCGTCTGGAAATCTGCTGTTATCGTCCCGATCTATAAGAAAGGCCAACGCTCTCAGGCTGGCAACTACAGACCAATCTCTCTCCTTCCCGCTGTGTCCAAGGTCTGTGAACGTATTTTCTTTGAGTCTCTGTACTGCCACGTCACCCCAGCGCTTTCACCATCTCAATCCGGTTTCTGCCGTGGAGACTCCACAACTTTCCAACTAACACGTCTAGTACAAGACATCTACACCCAGCGGAACCTCAGGCGGCATGTTGGCATCGTGTTCTTTGACCTAGCGAAAGCTTTCGACACCGTCTGGCATCGTGGTCTGCTTGCAAAGCTAGAGTCCGTCTTCTTGGTACACGGTCCAGCCCTGCAATGGCTCTCATCCTATCTTTCCTGCCGCCACCAGACTGTCAGAGTATCTACCTCCCTATCAGACCCATTACTAGTCGTGTCTGGGGTACCCCAGGGGTCCATACTTGGGCCGCTCCTATTTCTACTGTACGTTAATGACTTGCCAGCCCTTGTACCAAATGTAAGTCTTTTTGCTGACGACACTGCTCTGATGTGCTCCGACAGCTCGGCAGACAACCTCACGGCCTCCATGCAGTCCGGGGTCAACGCTACAGTAACATGGATGGAAACCTGGAAACTGAAGCCTAACCTCGCCAAAACCGAGGCCATGTTCTTCTCTCCCTCGCCCCCCACTCAACTTCTGTATTTTCCTGGTCTAAATAGTACACCTATTAAAGTTGTTAACGAGCACAAGCACCTGGGCGTTATTCTCGACCGCCAACTCTCCTGGTCTCCACAAGTCCAGTCTGTGTGCAAGCGTGCGAGTGCGTCCTTAGGTATGCTACAACCCCACTGCCAACACTTGAATGATAACTGCAGAAAATTGTTCTTTAAGTCGTACATTTTGCCTATATTTGACTATTGCGATATAGCTTGGTGCGGGTTGTCTCAGACTTTACTCCACAGACTGGAGGTACATCAACGCTTGCTTCTGAAAATTCTGTTTCGAAAAGACCAAACATTTGCCTCCCTTTGTCTTTATAAACTTGCTTCCACGCACCCTCTTCTTGCCCGACATCAGCAGCATCTTTGTATCCTCGTGCAAAAAATCTTCCTAGCCCAAGTCCCGAAACATATTGCCAAGTACAACTGGTTTGTTACCACTAGACCAACACGCAATGCCTTATCACTGCCCCGAGCTAGTTCCTCTCTGTTTTTGAAATCCCCTTTCTTCTCAGCATACTCCCTTTGGTCTAACCTGCCTACTAGCATTAAGACATGCCAGGATATCAGGAAATTCACAGTCCAGCTTTCCACACTGTCTCATCCGAAGTGATCCCATGTATTATTAATGTGCCTCCCTTTCTTTTTCTCTCCCTATCTCCTTTCCCTCTCTGACAGCATCTTTCTTTTTTTCCCTTTTAGCTTGCCGTGGTTGGCTATCACCTGACCTCTCATGTTTATTGGCAGTCTTCGGACGGGCCAGGAGATGTTGAATAAATAAATAAATAAATAAATCCGATGTAAATTCACTACCGACCATCAAGGAAAAACTCTATGAAGTGTTTTTTTGATTATTTTTTGAATATTGTTTTATTTTCTATTTTCATTTGGTCACCATGGTATTGCAATAATAATTATTATCGGCATCATTTTGGTTTAGTCATATCTTTGTATTAAGCCAACACAAATGTAGTTTTGCAAATGGAGCCCAAAAGTGTACACGTACATGTATGGTATGTATGGGCTTTTTTCATTTATGGGCTTACTGTTGCTGATGATCAACAGTAAACATATTTCGTTGTCATGGTTTTAGCTGGCGGATGACGAACCGTGACATGCATACTTTTAAATACATACTTTAAAGTAACTATTATTGTGCAGTGCAGAAATAAAGAACTCGAGTCAGCTGCAAATTGAAATTCGCTTCGGGCACCCCGTACTGCACAATAGTTCTGAACCATGCATGGGTACATCTAAATGTACATAGTGCTGAGCACGACAGGCGAGAAAGAGAGAGAGTATAGATTCACTTTATTGGTCCTTTTTGCTATTCTTCTTTCTGTGGGTTTTATCACGTCTTTTTTTCTTTTTTTTCTACAAAATCCACATATCTCAAGACACTGGTCTGCAGTGTACTTCACCGTAGTCCTTGTCCATTGGCTGTAACCTACATTAAACCTGGAAATGCGGCTTGAAAGTATACTAATGGAAACTTGTAAGATGTTGTTCAAGGGCCTGAAGTGTGTCCTGCTTCTTGGCATTAGATGCAAACTACTTTCGGCTTTTATTTAACATGGTGTTCCAGCTTCATCACCTGCTCTTGAATGAGATTCCAACTCATCACCCCGTCTTTGACTCTGGGTTCAGTGTACATGGTGGTACCAAGGGGAAAGTCGTCAAAGATCTCTCATTCGGGGTGATTGTTGCAGATATCTTCCAGCGCTATGGAGCCTGTGCCCTGGAAGGCCGTGGGAGGGTAAGCAAGATTGAATATTTTGCTTTAGGTACAGGTCATGCAATGCTGCAATGCAGGCCTTATTCCACAAACCATGTGCTATTTGCTCAAATTTCTTTTCGCCTGAGTCCATTGTGTGCATCAGGTTTGCAAAGGTTTTAGAGTGGAAAGTTCAATGAACTCATTGAGTAGTAAATCCTCTTGTGTGGGCCAAATGAATTGCACATAATTATCATCAACCAAAGTCAGTAAAACCCGTCCGTATAAAAATGAATTCGAAGTCTAGTAAATCATTTGGAACCCAAAATAAAAGAAATGAAAAATCAATTGGAACACAGTATAAAAGGAAATCAGGAGGAAACCCTTACGTAAAAGAGCTTACAAAAACATTACCGTACCGGCAAAGAACGACAGCTATTCTAAAGTCCCTATTGCTACGCCTGTATGATGACCGGGACCCTCTCATACATGTGATTGCCCAACGAAGCAAAAACAGTGACATAATGCACCGTGGCTGGCCCATGACAACAGAATACTGCAAATCATGATTCTTCTCCAAGACGATAGTTACCAAATTCTTCATAACAAGGAATGCTTCAGGGCCACACATGCCCGTTGTAGAATGCACTAATAATATTGTGTAAAAGATCCTCCCTCAACACTGGTTACCCGAGCGCAATAATAGGGACCTTTCGCACCACTGGTACGGATACGAAACGAATGCTGATTCGTCACCTGGGTTCGAGGATTCGTCAGAGTCACTGCGGAGAGCTTGTTTTCACGAATGGAAGCCTCTTCATTCGTGGCGCACTCCGAATCCGTCAGGTACACATTTATTTGACCAGGTACACCTGTTTGCCCAGGTACACATGTTTCCCCTTGATTCCATGATCCATGCACGTGTGCGTGTAAACACCCGTACGCCAAGCTACCGGCCATACTCGTAGTTGCCACGCACATTTGCATGACGACTTGCGAAACCTGAATCTGTTTTCAACGAAACGATTACGAGCCGAATCAAACTTTCGTGCCGCATTCGATTCGTAGCAAATGCGAAAGGCCTCTACTGCCTCTTCTTCGCCTGCTCGTGGGTCTTGAGCTGACCCAGGACGTCTGTACGGGACTGCCGAGTTGCCTTCCATACTAGCTGTGCATCACTGTTATCAGTTGTCTGAAGATTGCCATCTGGCAAGAAACTATTACAGTGAAACCTGTCTAACACGACCGCTCAAGGGGGTTCCACCTCCACGGCTGGAAGGACCTCGCCGATAGTGACTTGTCAAACGCGACCACTCAAGGGACCATCAAAATGTGGTCTCTGTCATCACTAGAAATAACATCCCTTAGTCCTGGTTGCAGTGGTCCTCTAGGACAGGTGGTCGCCTTATCCGAGTGATCACCTTATCCGAGTCGTCGCCTTATCCGAGTGGTCGCCTCATCCGAGTGGTCGCTTTGACGGGTTTTACTGTAGTTACACCGAACCAGATGCGTGGTACTCTGTGATTTGTGTATCTATCTATCGATCTATCTGTTAGGTACCTCCTCCCGTACCTTTTCTAGCTGGCCTGCATGCACTTTCGTACTCACCTTTTGTCTCCTTTTGTTCCGTTGGCCCGGGTAGCTACTTGCGCGCCCATATTTGCCATAGCTACTCAGGCCCTGTATCTTGCCGTTCAGACTTGATCTCTTCCTCTCTTCTCTCACTCGTCAATAATCACCATGTAGTCGTTTCGTTCGTCTTGGTCTCTTGTCTCGTCGTCTCTAATAAATGTCGTTCCCACTAACTTGTTCCCGTTGTCCGTTGTCCTAATTCGAATTCAACATTGGCGCCCGATTATTGATCGACCCACGACCCTGAGATCATCCCATGCCCAGCCGTCCTCAACCGCCATTCGTCTTGTCTATGTCAACCTCGTCCCGTCCATGTCAGTCTCGTCTCTCCTACGCCAACCTCGTCTCGTCTCTATCAACCTCGTCTCTCCTACGCCAACCTCGTCTCGTCTATGTCCACCTCGTCGCGTTCAAGCCATGCAGGTCAGCTACCTTTCTCTCTTTCTTTTTTTGTATTCTTCTTCGTCAAATATATTTTCCTGATTTTTTTTTGTAGTGTGTGCGCGCGCGTGTGTTCGTAAAACATTACCAAGTTAGGGGTCCGATCATGGTGAGCCACGCTCTAATTTGTGGATGTTTAGCAAAAGTGTAACTAGGCTGTATTAGCCGTGCAAAATACTAGTAATTCACGTTCCTCGTCAAATTCCAATGGTTATTACACACTATAAGTAGTACAGGAATGATCTGTAGTGCATTTTTAGTAAACACTTTCGTGAGATCCGTGCGCGCGCGCAATATGTGTGTGTGTGTGTGTTTTTCTCCTCCAGTCATTTTTTAAAATCTTTTTCTCTCTTTTTTCTCTCCGCGAGGACGCGGAATTTTTCTTCATGGAGGGGTGGTATGTTAGGTACCTCCTCCCGTACCTTTTCTAGCTGGCCTGAATGCACTTTCGTACTCACCTTTTGTCTCCTTTTGTTCCGTTGGCCTGGGTAGCTACTTGCGCGCCCATATTTGCCATAGCTACCCAGGCCCTTTATCTTGCCGTTCAGACTTGATCTCTTCCTCTCTTTTCTCACTCGTCAATAATCACCATGTAGTCGTTTCGTTCGTCTTTGCCTCTTGTCTCGTCGTCTCTAATAAATGTCGTTCCCACTAACTTGTTCCCGTTGTCCGTTGTCCAGATTCGAATTCAACATATCTATCGATCTATCTATCGATCTATCCTATCTATCTACTCAATCTGCGAACAGAACTGTTTCGTCCTTTGTGGACTCATCAGCGCAGCAAAGAGGAAATGAGGCGGAACCGGATAGCAATGAAAACTAAATTTTCCAAAGCCAGATTTAAACCTGGCCCGAACGTACTCTGCCCGAGTGCTCCAAGTGACAAGTCAGTGAGCTCTGCATAAAGCAAACAGCAACTTCGTTTATAACTACATTCGGGCGGGCATCAAAAAGTGTCCTTATTCGCGGAGTGTCGTTATACCCGAAGTCTCATTATAATGATGTATTACAGTTGGATGGAACTTTGCTCTAGGCATAGACATTCTGTCGTTATTCACGAATAGTCGTTATATCCGCAGTCGTTATTAGCGAAGTTGACTGTTTCATGCCAGATGGCAATCTTCAGACAACTGATAACAGTGGTGTACAGCTAGTATGGTATTTCTACAGTGGCATAGGAGGGAATCCGTGAAGGATTGAGGTCTTGTGGGTGTTAAAAGTCCTGGAGTGAAAATGCGAGGCATCACTGGTATCAGTTGTCTGAAGACTGCCATCTGGCATGAAACCTTTAGGTACAACAAACCAGACGCGTGGTACTCTGTGACTCGTGTGTTACTGCTCTGCTTCTGCATTGAGCAATGAGCACCCTATCGAACCGGAGGACTCCGCTCTCTGTAGACAAATAGATAGATAGATAGATAGATAGATAGATAGGTACATAGATAAATCCGTTGATTCCCGAGCTGCAGAGAGTGCTCAATGCCAGAGACAGCTCTTAGTACATAGCAGACTCTGCGGAGGACGTTCAGGTTGGTTGTAACTCTGAGTTTCATGCCTTTAGGCAATCATCAGACAACTCATACTCGGGTATACCCAACAGTATGCTTATAAACGCATAGGGCTACAAGCATAAACAAATTTAGCGCTAAATCTGGTGTAAGGTATGGCTAGAAAGCTGGCGCGGGCCAAGGCGCAACAGTAGAAGTGCTAGGAGGGTGGCGGGCAACAGGCAGGTGTGAGCATGAAAGCGGGGAAAGAGGCGATAGGGAGGCAGTGCATAGCAGATGGGTGGAGGTGCCAGGAGGATGGCGGGCAATGGGCCAGTGAGATCACTAGGTGGTCTTTGGGTGACGGGCAGGCGTGAGCAGAGTGGCATAGCCCACAACAGGCCAAGGGATTGGTTTACTTAAGAGAGCATGTCTGAGAATACCAAAGTATGTGTGCAAGTGGATCTCTTCGATTTCGCTCAAAATTTGCAGGTAGATTCCCTTTGGGGCGTGGATCGATTGTGCAAAGCCCTTGAAAAAGTGTCTGAAGGGAACCTTGAAATTTGCATACCCCTCAAAAATGGCCGAAATATCACATTATTTATGGGTCTAGAAACGAGTCACGCCACAGCGTATACGAACAAGCTATGAACAAAACTCCATCAAGCCAACATTGCCTCACCTTAGAAGAGTTCCTAGAGCAGTACCGCTTAGCCACGCCAGCATCCCAGAAGACGACGTCCATCACCCCCTGACGCCACAAATGATCGTCTTGAAAATACCCATTTACAAGCGCTGGCAAAACAGCCAGCTACGTCCTCAATTGGCCAGAACTATACGCCGGCAGATAGTAGAACACCTCTTCTAGCTCTGAGGACATGTCCCCCATCTTCCTTTTGGGGTTTTCTTGAAATAAACTTTTTTGAATTTTTCCACTCGACCATGCTGAAATACGGCCAAAGTCATACCTGCGCAGGAAAGCTCGCCTCTCCGCGACGTCTCCTCAGCAATTTCTACTCCAACACTACTCCCAAGGCCGCAGAACAAAGTGTAGTGTTGACTCTGACAAGGAAAAGCAGCGGTGATCACTTGTCACTCCAAACGACAAGCTTCTCCTTGCGCCACCAATAATTTTTTGTGCGACTGTTGATGCCGCAAGTGACTGAAGGCCTGATCGCAGTTTTTGAATTTTATTGCAAGATGCACGGTGAAATCACGTGCCTTGTGACGCAAGAATGCCAAGTCGCGTGGCCCACGGCTCACGAGATTTCAGAGTCACCTTCGTCAAGTGCGCTTGTTACTCGCCTTGATCGATGAATTGAACGCCCGTTGGTCTGGAAGTGATCACACTTGTGTTGTTACTGTGTAGCGACCTGACTCACTGAGTATTACGTCATTCTACAAACGCATGCGCAAGAAATAAAATCATTCTCTTTGGTCACAACTTCTTCGTTGTCCGGTTGGCCAAAGACATTTAAGTAGCCGTCGTCTAGGGCCCGACGTAAAACACTAAATTGGTGACCCCCGACGCTGCGCTCTTCGGAGTTTTGAGCATGCCATCCCTGAGCTCGGCCCGCCGCAGTTTCCTGCTCGCCTCAACTCTCGGGATCCCGTCAATCGCCGGCTGTTGACGTAAAACTTTAGCCTCACCACCACTGGATCCGCCTCGGAGCTGCTGTGTCCCCTGCCACCCTCCCCGGCCCACCTGGATACCCCGCTATCCTGCCACGGCATGGTCCAGTCGTCGTCGTCCGTGTTCGTCCTGGCCTCAAGCTGGAAATTGGCCACCTCCACCCGTCGTACCAGCTCACTCACTGTGCACGCACGCAGGCACACGCCCGGCACCGGACCCCACGGAGCTGCGCTCGCCTCCATCTGTCCTCGCCTCACTTGGCCTCGCCCCAGTGCAGCGCTCCTGCTGGTATCCCGCCAAGCCTGCAACATGCAGCCGCCTCTGACATGATAATACTCCTCTGTCACGCGTACATTTCCTTTCTTTCCGCCTCTGACACGATAACACTCCTCTGTCACGCGTGCATTTCCTCTTTTCTTTCTTTCTGCCTCTGACATGCTCTCCACCTCTGTCAGGTTAACACACCTCTGATACCTAAACCTGCCTCTGTCATGCATCTCTCTCATTTCCGCTTTCTGCATTTTTGATTTTGTTTCGGCCTTTGTTGCCACGTCACAAACAAATTTCATACACGCAGCGCTCTCACTTGTACATATTATTGTATTATATTTTTTCTCTTTCCGCCTTGTACATGCTGCGTTTCATTTCTCTTCTCTTTCTTGTTTCTTGTTTATCGTGCTTCGCTCCTCCCGACCTCACCACTGGCGGGGGAGTACTGTAGCGACCTGACTCACTGAGTATTACGTCATTCTACAAACGCATGCGCAAGAAATAAAATCATTCTCTTGGTCACAACTTCTTCGTTGTCCGGTTGGCCAAAGTAGCCGTCGTCTAGGGCCCGACGTAAAACCCTAAAACTGCGCTCAAGAACACGCTGACCGTGTTGTAGGCCTACGAACCGGGACTTTCCCTGACTATGTAGGTCGAAGACCAGTGAAATGATGATGAAATCACATTCTTCATGACGTAAGAAATCTCTCATGCAGTTCACGCGACAAGTGGGTGCAGCCAGTGCTGCTCGCGTGCCAGTCAACACAAAGGGACCGAGCTAGCCGCTTTTGTCGAGCATCGACATGAAAACAAGGGACTTTTACTGTTGGACTACGTTCGGGATTGCAGGAGGTAAGTGTGAAAGACGAATAACTCTCCATGCTGTACGGGGCATATTTCAACGGCTTGCTGCCATTGCAACACTCCTAGGACAGTTTGTGGGGGTTCTCAGCAGTTCAAGCAGGAAATGAAGCTCATCTTACCTCTGCCATCATGGTCTGTTCCGAGTAGCGTTCCAGGCACATTCGCGATCGATGGCTGCGTATCGTGATGCAGGAAGCATCATCCTACGTCACAGAGCACGCGATTTCACCGTGCATCTTGCAATAAAATTTTCAAAAACTGCGCTCAGGCCTTCAGTCACTTTTGCATCAACAGTCGCACCAAAAATTATTGGTGGCGCAAGGAGAAGCTTGTCGTTTGGAGTGACAAGTGCTCACCGCTGCTTTTCCTTGTCAGAGTCAACACTACACTTTGTTCTGCGGTCTTGGGAGTAGTGTTGGAGTAGAAATTGCTGAGGAGACGTCGCGGAGGGGCGAGCTTTCCTGCGCAGGTATGACTTTGGCCGTATTTCAGCATGGTCGAGTGGAAAAATTCAAAAAAGTTTATTTCAAGAAAACCCCAAAAGGAAGATGGGGACAAGTCCTCAGCGCTAGAAGAGGTGTTCTACTATCTGCCGGTGTATAGTTCTGGCCAATTGAGGACGTAGCTGGCTGTTTTGCCAGCGCTTGTAAATTGGCTATTTTCAAGACGATCATTAATTTTGTGGCGTCAGGGGGTGACGGACCTCGTCTTCTGGGATGCTGGCGTGGCTAAGCGGTACTGCTCCAGGGACTCTTCTAAGGTGAGGCAATGTTGGCTTGATGGAGTTTTGTTCATAGCTTGTTCGTATACGCTGTGGCGTGACTCGTTTCTAGACCCATAAATAATGTGATATTTCGGCCATTTTTGAGGGGTATGCAAATTTCAAGGTTCCCTTCAGAAACTTTTTCAAGGGCTTTGCACAATCGATCCACACCCCAAAAGGCAACCTACCTGCAAATTTTGAGCGAAATCGAAGAGATCCACTTGCACACATACTTTGGTATTCTCAGACATGCTCTCTTAATAATTATAATTGATATTGGGTGCTCAGGCAAAGTGCAGTACAGTACTTGGTCAGTTCATTTGATAGGTGTGAAATTTGTGAGGCGGAACTTATTCTCATGCCTGCATTTCGAGGTTATCTCAGACGGCTTGTTGAGCCGGAGCTGCTTGAGTGTAGTCAGGATGTGGAATTGTTCCGCGGTACATAGATTTCATTTTTTTGCTCACATCTGTATGATCGACTCCTCTCCCGCACCTTCCATGTACTGGTCAACGGCTTTCCCTTGCTCTTCAGCTCCCATACGAGTTTTGCGAGCTCAGTGCTGTTTTTGCATTTTCATGGCGCATGGAGTTGAGGTGGTTGGCGTGACGGGCTTTGAAAGGTGTCTCTGATCGACCGATGTAAATGTTGCTGGTAGAGTCTGCAGTGGCCTCATACACTATCTCCTTCGTCTGGCACTCTCCGAGCAGCGGGCAGGACTCCTTGATTCTGCAGTTGCATGCCTTGGTTTGTTCTGGATCTCGCAGGTTGCTCTTGTTGTGGCTGCTGATCACCCCTCCCATGTTGGGCATGCAGCTGTAGCTCACTTTCAAGGTGTTACGGTTGAATATCTCTGGAGGAGCACCATGTTAGTGATTGAATGGTTCAATGAGATATCCGACAAACAGCGCCACACGTTCCTATGCTTTGACGTGGTCGAATTCTTCCCGGCAATTGGTGAGCAGCTCCTCCGTCAGTCTTTATCGTTCGCGGAGCAATTCACCACGATCGAGCCGCGTCAAATATTAATGTCTAATGAGGAGTAGAATGAGAATGAAAGTTTGAAATGTTTCAGGGTAGAGAGATCATGTGTGGAGGGGATAAACAGAAAGTTTGCTTTTCCTCAGTAACAGCGTGTAGGCGATGATCCGCGTCCGGAACTGCTGTTCGTGATGAATGACACGGAGGCTACGAGGAAGTGAATTCCATAGCACTGCACCCCTGCAAGCAAAAGCACCCCTGACCTGCTGCAGAACGGGAAACTGGCACACACAGGCTCATGGCCGTTGGAGCCGAGTATGGCTAGGTGCAGCAGGAGTGAGCAAGGCTTGCAGTTCTGGACTTTCCAGGGCATATCGACAGCGCCACACAAGGTACGAGTACACAAGATTTTGGATGAATACGTCTGCCACATGGAACACTTCCACGCATTCTAGCAGAGCGCGGGCGGAGCACCAGAGAGATAGATGGATGGATGGATGGTTGGATGGATGGATGGATGCCTATAATGACACAATGATCACACAGCAATGAACGCCACCCCCAGATAAAGAGAGAGACAGAAATGGACAGAGAGATCATGTTCTGTTTGTTCACAGAGGAACGCTAGCGTTCCCGTCGAGTGCACTATAGTCTGTTTGAAAAAGATTTACAATCAGGTTTGGGTCTTAAAAAGTACTTGTATGAAGATAAGGGAAATTTGGACAACAAAGTACATAGAATGGCTTGTTAGGACACGGCAAATTGTTCTGTGATGGTTCCGGAACAATTGGACCAGCCGTTAAGGAGTTAGAACTTCGGCCAGGTTTCCGGCCTTTTCCCATGGTTTGCAATTTGCCCAGGAAGCCAGTATCGTTTTTTTATCAAAACCCACGATTTATCCTTTCCTTTTTGGCCTTGTGGTTATGAATGCTGTCTGCTGACCACGAAGTTGTGAGTTCAAATCTCAAACTATCCTGAAGTTAAGCTTTTCTTTCATTGTTTTGGTGATCCAGCTGGCACAAGACAAAGAAGATGGCTGCACCAAACGACTTGTTGTTGGAGCTCGCGCTTCCTGCCGAACTGACTGACACTTGACTGGCTCAAGCCATGTGCACACACCCACAACACTGCAATGGTGTGGGTGAATATGGAAGTCATCGCGCTGTAGCTTTTTGAGATTTATTTTAGTATTTCAAGATCGCCAATTTATTTGAATTATTAGCAGTCAACGCCGTCTTTTATCTGCGTTCACAAGCGTCTGCTTTTCTCAAAATGTCGTCGAAGTCATACGGATAGCTTTGCCAAATCATGGCCTTGGGAATGAGTCCGTGTCGATGTCGTTTTCGTCACACGGTGAGTAAATTGCATCGCAGCTCAAAGAAACTATTTTGGTCACAAAACGAATTGGGACCCATGCCGCTCGTCCACATTTACAACACTTTCGTTTCCTCTCTGACTTCATTATCGATACGAGGAAGAACTCGTTTCTTGTAAACCAGACGAACATGACTGTATCAACATGAGTGAGTTGTCATTTTTCCTGCTTTTGCGCGGAATATTTCTTCGAGTGCGCAGTGAGTTTTTCCAGGCAGCGCTCGAGTGTTCATATATGCATAGTACGGAAAGACGCCAAACTCCGCGGGCGATCGCCAGGATTGCAAATCTTTCTGAAACGGGCTGTAGTTGTATTGTTCTCTCCATTCTAAGATAACTTTCTTCAGCCACGACGGCACATGAAGCTGGACCCCGCACAGAGGAATCGAGTATTTTGCTCGCTTTTTTGCCGTGTACTCTACTGAATTTTTGGGTATTCTTTTGGCTTTCTTATTTGCATGTCCAGTCCAATGCAGATATCGGTGAATACATGTACAGCCATAGGCCGCAGAAAGGCAGTGACGGCCTACCACGCATATGCTCAATTCAAGTTGATATGGCTTTGCAGTTCACATGTGTTAACCCGACGCTTGAGCGTGAAACCTTCTTCTCTAAGCCTACAGACTGTGACATGTACGGTATGAAGAGGTTGTTAGCATGTTCAGCAGAGCATTTCAATATCACAAGGAGCCTGCTATGTGCGAATGATCAAAGTCAGGCCCTGATTGTCAAGGAATTCAATCAGCTGGCGGTGTTGTCAAAGGGACTGCCTACATGGATCCTATTTCAAGAGTCGAGTACGGAATGCTTGAAGAGACTGGATGGCGACACATGGCTGTATGCCAATACTAATTGCAATCGCATGGCTATCACCAGCAAAGTCCTGGAATATAGGTGAGACCTGAACCTCTTACTCCACGTAATTTATCAATACAGGCGTTGTGTGGGTCTTTCCAGTCTCCAACCTGGTAAATGTTTTCGTTTGCCTCCGCTTCTTCCATTAATACCTCAATAATAAAACAACTTACAGGTATGTTTATCATTTATTCCGCAGAAAAAAAACTTCACGGCTACTCCACCGTGATTATGCCCTGAATACCCTGGTTGATGTGGTGAGAGCACGTAATGACTCCATCAGTAATGTTCTCCTAGGCCAAGAGCACTGGTATCTGCCATGGGTGCATGCTGCCGCTGTTGGCTGGAACGAGGGTGGTTGGGATACGCCACTTCTGAGATACGCCGGTAAACAAGGCCCGTCGCAATCAAGCATATCGCAACTCATTCTCTACCCATCGCCGGGGGAAGTTATCACTCTCAACATCGATACCCGAGATAGTTTGATGAACATTCTTCCCTGCAGCCTCTCTCTAACTGTAAGGCTTCTAGATAAAAAAATAAAATAAAATAAATGAATGAATTATTATGTGTACTGGCCCTGTTCATTTCTATACAGCTAGCATTGCATGATTATCGCCTCTTGCGTGAAACTCGGAGTTTCAACGACTTTGTTCACCCTTCTCTATTCGCAGGTAACATTATCCTCAGACCTAGCCGGAAATCAAATTGCTTGTGCAATAGTGAGAGACTCTGTGTGCGGTGGCGTGTGCATGCGTGCGTTTAGCACTTTTTAGTCCCCAGCTCTGCAATGTATTTATTCACACCGAAACTGCTGCTGTTTAGCCACAAATCTAAAGACTTCGCAACTAACTTCCCGCCTGCACCTGACGTGCACGCTATGGTTCCCCTCAGTATTTCTCACCTTGCTCCCCATTATGTTCCGCCTGCCTCTGTTGGAGCCATCAGCTGCCTGATGATCGTAGAAATACGTTAAACTCAGAGTTGCGACACGGCTTCAAATCTCTCTCTCTCTCCCTCTCTCTCTCTCTTCCTCCCCCCCCCCTCTCTCTCTATTTCTTCCTCTCTCTCTCTCTCTCTCTCTCTCTCTCTCTCTCTCTCTCTCTCTCTCTCTCTCTCTCTCTCTCTCTCTCTTGTGTTGTATTCAAGATAATTATTCAACCGTTCCATCTATTATTGTTTACCCTGACACAGGTGGCGGAAGACAATAGGCGACAAGCTTCGGTTACTCTCTTGCGATACGAGGGCGATGCATCATCCCTTGGTTTCGAGCCTGTGGACAGCGTTGAGTTTCTATCAAGAGACGGCCTCACTGGAATTGCTTTAGGCGGGCAGCCAGGTGCTGTAGGTTGGCTGTTCCTGAGCATTAAAGGCAGGAACAGCGCCAGAGTTGAGCTTCCGCAGACAAGATTCGAGCTGGAGATCCCGTTCAAGATTCGCCCATGCCATAAGGGTTTCCATGGCCCTGTCGAAAAGGTAGTTGTTTGTGTGTTGCATGTGTGTCAAGGAATACATTGCCCCTCGTGATCTTCATAAAGCAACTGCTCATATGCATATAGCAAGCGCATGTAGGTAAAAGACATTTTTCCTGTGCCGAAAGAAGCAGTCTCAAACGAAAGGTGGTCTTTCAACACAGATACTACCTACATGTTGACATGTTCTTTGGGTCTACGTAATTTACCGGTTTATTAGTATTTGGTCAGGGCACGTGGTCTCATAATGACAGGTGACCTCGACAGACGGATGCTTAGTTCTGGAAAGGTGACCCATATACATGTACTTGTACGATGTAACTTACAGTGTGATCAAGTACTCGACTACGTTCCATATTACCGAGTAGTACAATAGATCATCAAAGGCTTTCTTTCTGAAATTTTGGTTATTTGTGACAAATGTATCCTCTTCTGGTGTAACGCAAATCTTAGTTTGGAATTCATGTATTCCAGTTATCATTGTCAGCTATGCTATTCTGAACTTTTGCTTTCGAAAAAGCGACATACGGAGATATTTTGGAGCCAGATAACAGGTCGTGCAATGTCTCAGTACTCTGTCAGTTTTGTGCCTTGTTGTTGAACTCTTTGAATGTACAATGTCTACTGTCGTGGACATGGACATCCGGTCGCACGTCTAGCGGCCCCAGGGCGCTGGCCATGCAGCCGTGGATAAGCGGTACATGTACACACATGCATTTATGCGCTGCAGCGCGCTGGTCGCATCGGATTGATCAATGTGATTGTGCACTGCACGCAGCGTTCTGTACGCGCTGAGGACGCCGGCCAGTGTCAATGGACTAGATTTCCATGTCCGCTACAGAAGTTACAGTGGTAGACAGTCACGCTAACTCGTATCCATATGTCCCTTTCCCTTCTACATTGATTATTTTTGTCTTTCGCTCAGGAATACGGAACAATGTTCGGCAAGAAGACGTTCTGGACATGCGAATGCAGTAAATTACAATTTCCCGGTATCCGCAACTGCACACAAGGCCGCCATTTGAACATCCGATCTGGATATTGGGCTGGCAACCCACTCGACGACCCAGAATTGCAAGGAGAGCGAAATCTTTCAGACATGGTGACCTGGGAGATGAACGAGTCGCTTCAATTCAATGACTCTAACATGTTCACGAAGTACATAGATTACCCGTTCGAGATAGCGCAGTGCAAGAATGGGCTGTGCTTTAATCGCGACTGGAAGTATGGCGAAGGTCAATCCTGTCCAGGATATTCGTCCGGTCCACTGTGCGGTCGTTGCTTGCAGGGATACTGGCAGACTCTCGCCACTCAGGTATACAGTCATATAGAATACATGATTGTCAAATTATGATAATAGTTATCTCGCTCCCATCTCTATCCCTTTGCTTGCCACAAGTCGAATGGTAGGATTTGGTGCGATTGGCTCAAGGTTTGAGATGATTTCGTGATTAGAGGTTGATGTGGTACGATTTGGTACGATTCGCTCAAAGTTTGAGATGATTTCTTGATTTATAGAGTCTGTCGGTAAATAGCGAGGTTTCAAAATATTATTGTGAAGTGGCGAGGGTTAGGTGCTGCTCACGTTTTGTTTTTTACAATGATCACAGCTCACAGACAAAGACAGAAATTGCATAGTTAGAGCATAGTTATCGAAGGAAAAGGTACCTACATGTAAGATCTGGATGACATGGAAAACGGCGGGGCATAATTTATGTACAAAGGGGAGGTCAACATGGAACGAGGTATGCCCACCTGTCCAACAACGCAGCCAGATTTTTTACAGACAGCGAGTGCGACAAAATGGCACGAAGCAGACACAAGGCGTGTATTTTCCACCATTTGAATCCACCATACGCAGAGCAGCATTGCCGTCTTTAACTTCATTCTCCCGAGACAAGCATGCGTTACATGATATAGTACGGTATTATTTTCTCCCATTCATGTCTTCTTGTTTTCAATCTTACTCTCCTTCAAGAAATGCCAACATTGCTCGCTCTCCTCTCGTCGAATACCCTTACACTGGTATGTGGTCACAACGATTGCTTTGACAGTAGCCAGCTTCCTCCTAATGTTACGATTCAACTTCGGTATTTCCCCAGTACTGGATAGCTGGCTGTTCCTTATTCAGGTATGGTGCACCAGTTCATGCTAAGTTCTATTGTTTTTATTACTTGTGAGCATTTGCTTTACACCAGCGAAGCTCTGGTGTATTATTCATCCAAACAAGGTCTGTTTAATATCCTCAAACCTTACCACACCTATGAAAACCGGATGGAAACGAATGGTAAAGGCGGAAATGACTTTTTGTGTTGGACATACATGTCAAGGTAGCATTCGCAGTAAGAAGTGCGCTTGAAAAAGATATAGACGCAAGACCTCATTGCATACAAAAAACGCCTTTCCAGTACAGAGGTCCATATGCTCCAGCCGAATTGAAAGGTGCACGGCGTTTGCCAGGAAATCTTGCAAACTTTCCACTTATCCATCCAGCTTTGTCCACTAGCGCATGACTACAGTGATACCTGTCTAAGACGACCACCGCTCAATGGACCTTCAAAATGTGGTCTCTGTTACCAGGTGGTCTCCTTATCCAGGGTCAATTCAATGGAAATAGCATCCTTTGGTCCTGGTTTCAGTGATCTTTTAGGGCAGGTGGTCACCTTATCGGAGTGGTCGCCTTGACAGGTTTCACTGTATACCGATGAGGGAGAGTTGCATTGTTGGTAAACTCATCGATGTCAGGGCAAAAATTGATGTGAAATTGCAGATTAAACCAAAACGTCTAGAATACGATTGGATATTACAGATAGAAAGATGTTGAAGCCCGGGTTAGAGCTAATTCAATGCAGGTGGGGCTAGACTGTGTAACCACTATTCCAAACCGTGAGATGTGCGTGAACTATTCCTAACAGTTAGGCGAATGTTTCTGGATAGGTATGCGGAGATGGCGAGGGCGGCGAACAACAAACCGTGGATCACAACACTGTTCGAAGTTTCAAGAAGGTTTGGAAACTGATACCGTCCGCTCTTCAGTCAAGATCAATACTTGTACTTCAAGAAGTTACTCTCATTTCTGCCTTTATATTATCCTGATGAAGATAATCAAGCAACGTGTCCTTTTAAGTTTTCATGCCGTTCACCTTTCGTCTTTCCTTTGTACCCAGGCCTGCTGGTACGTGTTCCCCAAAGACAAATCACCAATCCATGCCGCGATTCACTCAATACTGACATTTGGCCTGGGCAATCTTTGCTTCGTAGAGCCCCTGGACAGACTGGACAGCGGACAACTCCTTCTGTTGCAACCAATGACGCTACTCTTCCTCTTCATGACGGTGAGGGTACTGAGGTCATACAACGTCACCGGAAAGTACATTCAACGCCTGCAAAGTCACATGCTGCTCGTACGCGTCATGTGGTTCGTGCTGGTGTACAGCTATTTCGTGTTGGTCTTCACCAGCATGAATACCCTGTGGTGCACACGCCTGAGCCACAGAGGACAAGTTCTGGCAGTGGATGGCGCCATCAAGTGTTACAATGGCAAACACATGCTGCACACCATCCTTGCAGGGCTGATTATCCTCTTGGTCCTAATTCCAACGCCACTAATCCTCGCCATTCCGCAGTGCCAGCGCAGCATCCACCTGAAGGGATTCATTGACGAGGCCAGTAGTCTCTACAAGGATGATCGCCGCTGGTGGGCCTCTGTGAACTTACTGAGAAGAGTTGCAGTAGCAATCATCAGCGTGATGATGACTGGAAGCGAGAAAAGTCGAATAATGGCTCTCACCGCATTTTTCTGGTGCTATTGCGCATTTCACACCCAATGCCGGTAAGGGTCAGGTCACCCCTAGCCCTTCTCGTGCCGTATTTTTGGGATCGTTCTTTAGAACGGGGTGGCACTATCCACACGCCGCTACGACTGCAGTTTAAAACGGTACCAGTAACATACTGATACTCTCAGCTTAGTTGCAATCACAGATTACCATTGCTTTCGCGTTCAGTATTTTTCATTATTGTCTTACTGGGATTGCATATTTGTACCAATTTTAGTTTCAATTTATATCTATAATGCTTATTTTGCCGGAAAAGAGGCTCTCCACATCGAAGCAAGGGAATGCATGGTGTGCAAGTTCAGTTTTTCTTATTGGATGTTTCAACTTTCAAACAACGGAAATCCTTTTGTGTGTTCTATGTTTGGTGATCCAGGCCCTTTCGGAGCCACAACCTCGCCGGAGTATCGGCCAACACTTGGGAGAGCATGTTTCTCTTCGGCCTTTCGCTTATTGCAAGCCTCGAGTCACACGCATTCGACGAGGACGAAGGCCGGCACCGTGCAATGCACACCGCGGCATTGACCTTACTGGGTTCCATGAATGCTCTCCTGCTCGTGGCATGCTTAGCCAAACAATGCTGTTCCAGGCACGGTGGTTATGGTCTGCTCAAGGACCTGTCGTTAGCAGTATGGTGGCGCAGAAGGCAGAATTCCCGGAACAGCGAGACAGAAGTGGAGCTGACAGAGTCTACACTTGACGTCATGGCTCGCAACATGAGGGAGCCACTAATGATCGAGCAAATCAGGGATGCGCATAGCAGAGGAAGTGACCATTCCTCACAAAAATCTTGCATCATCCTCTGACGACCTACTGATCCGGGACTTATGTCAATACCCGGTACTAGAACATGTTGGTATTCAGCTGTTGTCCCTTATGTTGACGTTGTTGTTGTTGTTGTTGTTGTTGTTGTTGTTGTTGTTGTTGTTGTTGTTGTTGTTGTTGTTGTTGTTGCTGCTGCTTCTGCTGCTGCTGTTGCTGCTGCTGCTGTTGTTGTTGTCGTTGTCGTTGTTGTTGTTTTTGTTGTCGATTTTGGTGCTGTCAGTATTGGCAGCGGCGACGTCATCGTCTTTGTTGTTGCCGTCGTCTTCGTTGTTGCCATCATTGTTACCGTCGTCTCCATTTTGAGCACTTTCTTGGGTTTTATTGGTTTTATCAAGGTATCAAACTGTCAATTCACTACTGACTGTTGTCATACATGGAAATGCAATGCATCCAACCTCATTATTGCATCCCTTTTTTGACATAACCTCGTACATGTAATTCTCATCATAAAGACAAATTGAACAGGCTCGATTTCAACTCGCATGGGAAATTGCCATCATCATTTTCCTTACAGAAAATCTGCATATTGTGCACCTGCTTTCTATCCACACTCACTTCAAAAGATGGCCTTTTAGAAATTCTTGCACAGCTTCGCCCTCATTTTATACTGCATACAATTTCCTGCAAAGCATTATACACGATTGTACACATACATGTGACGAGTGTATTTACTTCTATGTCGCTAGACTGCATTTTACCTGCTTAGGTTCACCATGCATTAGAAGATCAGCGCATGGTCCTGGCCTCAGGTTGAAATCCTTCAAAAAGTAAAGTTGTCTTTACACAGTGCTTGTGTTTCATTCCTCTTGTCTCACTTCTCACCTTCTTTTTGCCCTCTTTCCCCCTGTTTTCTTACCTCCCCTTTTGCATAAATTCTTCGCTACAGGTATCACCTAGTGGTGATGGTTACCACCCTTGTGATGCTACTTATCCCTATGTTTCATTGGTTCTGGTTGCTTGTAATTCATTTGAAGAGCATACCCGAAAAAAGGTTCATGAATTTCGGAGTCCTTTTGATGATGATGTTGAAGAATAGCTGGGGATCTGTGGGTTTCTTTACCTGATTAGCCTTTTTTAGCTTCCTGTCTGCAAGAAAGCTAAATGATAAAGATACCAAAAAAATATTGAAAAGAGAAATGACCAAGGAACTACAAGTTACGCTACAATCTCCACTAACACCACCAGTTACTAAACAATCAGCTCATGCGATAACATTAGTGTCTTGGTCCTTTTTCTTTTCTATACATTAGTCCTTGTTTACATTTTGATCAGATACTAGCCCTGTCGTCCTCCTCTCCCGTACTGTAAGTTAGCATCTTAGAGTCTTCGGATTCTTGTAAACGCTGGTACTGATACGGCTGCTTTTTGCCACCTGGATGTATGGTGAATGATTTTCTTAGCCCGTTGTCTCGCGTTTGCTCTACTCGTTCGTTTGCACTCTATTCCTTGGAAGTGTCGTCACTGAAGCTCTAAACAAAATTATGTCCTGGAATCATCAGTTGTCTGATGATTGCCTATGGGGTATGGATATTACCCTACTACTTGAAGCTATGAAGCCGAGACCTCTGGAAGGCTCAGCTTAATAGGCCCCATCACCACACTAAATTATTCACCCCAGTGTCTGGAGATATGTGGATTTTGTAGAAAAATACGAAAAAGCACATTACTATAATTATTATAGTTACAGTGAAGATGCGTGGTGCCCTGTGACTTGCGTGATGTGCGTGACTACTCCCTTCCCATATTTGGAAGTGCGTGCATAGACAAACCTATCACGGGGACCCTTCTAATCAGGCCAATCACGTCAGACATGATGGCTAAAATGTGAGAAGACTTTCCTGTCAAGTAACCTTGGGAATGGGACCTGTGACCGCTGGAAGTCGACTATGTTGCACCTCTTAATTTTTATTTTTCATTACTATCAAGTTCGGCCTCATTTCCTCTGTGCTGCGCTGATGAGTCCACAAAGGACGAAACAGTTTTGTCCGTTGTCTTCCCTCCATCGCACTACCCATCTGGAAAGGGAAAATTGGACACCAAGGGGAGTATGAAAAAGACACTATTGAGTACAATAAGAACTTAGGTGCCCCGGAGAAGCAGTGTTCTACTAGTGAAACCTCTCAAGGCGACCACTCGGATAAGGCGACCATCTGTCCTAAAAGACCACTAAAATCAGGACCAATGGTATGCTATTTCCAGTGCGCATTTCCAGTCACATGACCCCGGATAAGAAGACCAAATGGTAACAGAGACCACTTTTTGAAGGTCCCTTGAGAGGTCGTCTTAGACAGTTGTCACTGTACGTGACTCTGGAGGTACTCCACTGACCTGGTCTTGCTGTTCGCCATGGAAACGTACAATATGTATGCGTTGTACGTGTAGCATGTAGCCTGTGCGGGTTGATTACTAGGCAACAAGCGTTCCTAAAACTCACGCCTAACCCTACACTGGGAACCTGTCTTTAGACTAGTTCGGCAATGTTTTGGCCTGCCTGGCCTGTGTCATGCAGAGGACGTGCAAACCGGCCAGTACATGTACAGTGGATGAAGCATGCCTTTTGACTTGCCGGTATCGCGTTGAAAGCAGATATATTTCCTTCCAGTGCGCCTTGCAACATTGGCTGACAGTCTTGCTTCAGCAAAGTTTAGGAACCAAGAAGCCATCATACTGGGTACTGTAACGCAATTCGTTTCCGCATGCGGAAGGGTGCACAATATACATGTCCGTTGTCAGAGTGGACGTTGTGCAGAAATAAATCAGTGAACATGTCCGGTAGTTCTGCATTGACTGATGATCGAGTGATTTGGCAAGCCTGTTCAAGAATCTGCTTGGATACGAAGTACATGTACATGACTGTAAGTAATAATTTCCCACAAACAAACGACGATATAATTATCGGATAGTCGAACCAGTTTCCATCGGTGTTTGTGATTAATTTGGAAAGTGCTCCATATTGTACGGCATGAACGGCCTGGTCATAAACATTTCCCAAATTGCTATATTCTACAATACTCAAAATAATGTCACCTTGTCGACACAGTCATCCGACTGATGAACTTTCGAGTTTCGTTTACCGTTGATTACACTTCAAGTCATAAGACTGGAGATGAATAGCCCCGTTTGAGCGCTGAGTATTTTAGAGATTACATAACTCTGATGCGATAGTGAGAGAAAACCATCTATAATTTAGGAGAGAAAACCATCTATAATTTAGGAGAGAAAACCACCTATAATTTAGGAGAGAAAACCATCTATAATTTAGGAGAGAAAACCATCTATAATTTAGGAGAGAAAACCATCTATAATTTAGGAAACTGATAGTCGCTGAAAGTGTGAAATTCTGAGTTGCAGGCAATTTGCCCGCAAGCCTCACGGTGTTAACTCTGTGATCACTGCTCATTCGTTGGGGTCACTCGGCTGTTTCACAGATACAGTGAGGGGGTGCTCATCTATTCTCCCTCGTCGTCTGTTCCAGACAATAGGGACCTTTCGCACCACGCGTACGGATACGAAACGAATTTTGATTCGTCAACTGGGTTCGACAATAGGGACCTTTCGCACCCCGCGTACGGATACGAAACGAATGCTGATTCGTCACCTGGGTTCGAGGATTCGTCAGAGTCCCTGCGGAGAACTCGTTTTCACGAATGGAAGCCTCTTCATTCGTGGCACGCTCCGAATCCGTCAGGTACACATTTATTTGGATAGGTACACATGTTTGGCAAGGTACACATTTTTCCCTTGATTCCATGATCCATGCACGTGTGCGTGTAAAAACTCGTACGCCAAGCTACCGGCGCCCGCGGCCGTGTTCGTAGTTGCCAAGCACATTTGCATGACGACTTGCGAAACCTGAAATCTGTTTTCAACGAAACGATTACGAGCCGAATCAAACTTTCGTTTCGCATTCGCTTCGTAGCAAATGCGAAAGGTCCCTAATTCGTCAGAGTCCCCGCGGATAGCTCGTTTTCACGAATGGAAGCCTCTTCATTCGTGGCACGCTCCGCATCCGTCAGGTACACATTTTTTGCAAGGTACACATGTTTTGCCAGGTACGAGCGACTCGTACACATTTTTTCCCTTGAATCCATGATCCATGCACGTGTGCGCGAACACACCCGTACGCCAAGCTACCGGCCGTATTCGTAGTTGCCATGAACATTTGCATTACGACTTGCGAAACCTGAATCTGGTTTCAACGAAACCATTACGAGTCCAATCAAACTTTCTTTTCGCATTCGATTCGTAGCAAATGCGAAAGGTCCCCAGTGAGGCCTCACGTACACTCTACCATTAATAGCATTATACGTGCCAGACACAAATATCCATGGTGCAAGTTGGGGGTTGATGAACTGTTTGTGATAAATTTTGACCTCAGATATACATTAATGAAAAAATCGATGGTTTGTATGATTCATTGAATAGTTTACAAGTAGGGCTTTACTTTTTAGAGAAGCATCATTGTCTGGTTTGACTCTGGTCCCTAGTACTAGAGGCAAGGTTCCCCCTGCAACATCTCCCGTAGCAGTGACGAGTGTGAAGGGGTTGGCAGCGACCAAGATGCAATCTGTGTAGATGAAAACAGTTTCCAACCAGTCCAGAACTCAAAGCGTAGCAAGAAGCAGGGCGTGTTCCAGGTGATCGCAGATGACAGCTGGAAGATGGTGTCGTCGGAGCCTCCCGGGGCGAAGAAAGCTGTGCTGTACGTTGGCGACCTAGGCGACCAATGCACCGAGGAACGCCTCAGGAAGTTTGTGCAACACAGAGTGGCTGCGGTTGGGACATCTGCGGATGTGCACGATTGCAGTATGCACGAATCATCAACCGGCAAAATCTCAGCGAGACTGACAGTTGACACTGCAACAGCTTCTTCCATTACCATT